ATACCTAACATATATATGTTGGGAAATTGATAATTTTTCAGTACTTTTCCGCGTATCAAGATCACCTGGTGATTAAGGCTATAAACCATGCTTGAAAAGCTATTCAATTAATAAGCATATCTTATAGCATTTGCCTTTGAAACTCTGCACTATCCTTGGATCCCTAGTTATTATATTGAATTTTTTAAATAAATAAAAAAGAAAGCTAATTAAAAGTGATATTTTTAGGCGATTTTTCATTTGTAAGAATATTCTTAAAAAATATCATGTTACCATAACAACTACTTTAGATACTTCATGTTTGGAAAACATAATGCTTTTGTGAACAAGGCGAGGGTTTCTGCATGCATGTATTTTGTAGTTTAATATATATTTTACCTATCAAATTTTTTTCTAATAACAAAATAATTCTTGTTTACAGTTATAAGCAAGCACTTAAGATTGGATAGAGGGACTGAGACTGTAGATATGTCCACTATGCATGCATTCCTAATTAAGGATGCGGACCCCTCCTCCAGTGATGGTGATACTAGGGAGTTTGGCAACCTAGAACGGCAACAGCAACAGCAACAATAGCATTGATCCTCAAAGACAAAGGCGAATGTAAATTACATGGTCTTTAGCGTTGTCCAATGCCGTAGTTGTTGAAATTGGTACGTGATTTGCATCACTTTCACGGTGCATGACTATGGCAACAGTTAGTTCGTTCGATGTTATTTGAAGTGTTTTATTTGGATTCGCGGACTATTTTTACTTAGGGGCTGTTTGCCGAGAGAAACAGGAATACTTAAACAGGCAAATTAAGTGTAGCAACGTATATACTTTGCCTTTGGCTCAATTACAACAATACAAGCAATTATATTTTTGCCGTTGCTGTTGCTGTTCTAGGTTGCCAAACTCCCTACTGTGCACTATGGTCCTTCAACTAACAACAAGGTACAATTAAATATTGGCCTTTTATAACTCTATGTCTGTAATTAAAAAAAGTTTTAAAATTTAATTAGATTGAGCGTTGGTGGTGAGAAATTCATCAGTGTCTAGAGAAGTTTTTAAACGACAATTAATGATGCTTCTTGAACAGGGATATTATGATCCATATTGTCAAACTGATCGGTAGGTTTGTTTTCTGGTCTGGCCGTCTGGCTTGTTTTACTGTTCTCGCTTTTCTCTTCATGCATGTGTTCATTCATTGCTATGAATTATTCTTACAGTGTAGTGTATGCATTTTAATTGAAATCCAATCTGCAGCTACAGTTTCGTAACCCATTAAGTTGCAGAGTTTATAATGTAATATTTCCTAAAATAATCTGGTAATGTCAAAGACATGCTTATTATGATCAAAAGTATTGTGATGGATGTGTGGAATTTAACTGGTGTTTTTGTTTGATTACTGTTAGGGATCTGCTATCATTTTTCATCCCTCTCATACAAAAGGAATTGAATATTTTCAAGGATACAATATGTAATTCGCACAGGGTGAGATGTCAGAAGGATGCACTAATGCCCAAAGGTGTTCCTTTACATCTGTGTTCATTCCCAGAAAAATATGGTGCTGAACATTGTGGTATGGGAGTATAATTGAATGATTAATCTTTCAGAAATACAGTACTTTGTTATTTTCATGTGGTGATTATTGATTATTCATCAACAGGTTTTGAACTGAGGAAACAAGCTATTGATGAAGTTGCCCAACTATCTGGAGTAATGGATGTAGGAGATGATTACTTGTCACAGCTTGTTAGACAGGAATGTGAAAGAGTTATTCCAGAATTGGACAATGTGAAACCACAAGATGCAGCAACCACCTTTATTTTCCTAAAAAATTATAGAAATGATGCAGGAAATTGATAACTGTGACTCTCCATTTACAGTCAAATTATCAGTGAATGGCTCAAATATAAATCTCACAGGACTGTACCAGTCTGGAAAGTTAAGTTTTGGTACGCCGGACATCGATCCTACTGTTTTTAATGTACGCCGATTGGAAAAAGTACGACTGAATGGACTGATCAAGTGACGTCATCAGCCGCTGATGACGTCATTGCAACAATGCTTTGTTGCCAATTTTCAACGTGTTCACACAACCAAAATGCTGTTTGATGAAATGTATTTAAAAAATTAAATACACAATGTACATTGTACAATCATGTTTCTTAATATCAACTGTAAACTATTTACAGTTATATTTCTTAATATCAACTGTAAACTATTCAAAAATATCAACTGTAAACTATTTACAAAATGTCTATTGTGTATTAATATTGTATTGTATAATATATATCATATCTGTTACAATAATATAATTCATCAATACCAGTGACATTGTCATTTTGAAATGTTAATAAATGGATAACGACCTTGCTCGTTCGCAAATCTTGTGAGTACTTTGCTGGCC